GTTTAATTTGCATGTCTTAGATCTGAATTTTTTTTCTTATAAATTAATTCATATCTGAATTGTTTCTTCCAAACTCTTTCATATTTTCATCATTTTAACCACTTTATTCAATTAAACAATTTAATTTTTCATGCATATGTTCTATTTTTAGATCTACTGTATGGTTATTTATTTCTTTTTATTTCAATATTGCAGATAGCAAGGATGAGTTGGAGATTTAAGAATTCTGGAGAGATCTCTATTCCACGAAATGATCACTTAAAATTACAGAATAATACCATAATACGTAAATTACCTGTTTTACCGAAGAAATATTTTAAAGACTTTTTGCAATATCTGACAATATGTAAATTTTACAACGTAAATATATTATAATGATGATCATTCGGAGGAAGAATACAGCAGTATACGAGTGATTACTTTTCTAGTTTAAGTTTCTAAACAAGTTGGGGGGGTCTCTATTGAAATTGGAACTATGGAGAAAGACTTAATGGTTATTTGCACATAGACCCCCTTGTAATGTCATTGTTTTGCACTTACTATCTTGTGGTTTCATTGTTGCAGATAGAACCCCTGGTTAGATTTTTTACTCTTCTACCCTCAGATAAACTCACTAATTTCACCCAAAGGCAATATCTGTCAAATTTTAACTAAGGAAAAAAGTAAATTTAACCCAGAGGGGCCTCAGATATGTTAGCATTTCTTAAGGAAAAGGCAATTTTGCCTTGTGAATAGTCCCACATTGGAAGTTGAGAAGAAGTTCAAGTGGTTTATAATGGTTTACTTCCTAATGGGCTTTGAATAGTGTTTTGGGTTTTGTGGGCTTTGCGTTTCTACCACACACGCGCGCGCGCGCGCCCGCCACGCCACGCCTCGCCCGCACGCGCGCCACGCCACGCCGCAGCCGCACACGCACACCCTTTTGCTTCTCAAGCTTTTAATTTTGCACGTTTTACACGTTCTGTAACGGCAGCATTTATTATGTAACGGCAAGCGTGATTTACGCCCAACGGACGAGGAGATTCAGCAGCGGTTACTGGTTCATGAGGCTATATAAGGAGGCAGAGTTCATTCGGAAAAATACACAGAAATTCACAAAGAATTTCATAGCTCTCTTCCTCCTTCTATTCCCAGATATTTGGCTACATATTTTTGCGGATTATTTTATTGGGCAACATCTTCATCTGAGCAGAAGCTCTGCTACTCGCGCCCGAGTAGAGAGGCCGGCCGTTTCCGGGGGCTTTTACCGCTAGGGGGGAGGATCGACTACGCCAGGGCGACAGGCGGGTCCTCTATCTTCTAGGGCAGTGTATCACGACTGCACCCCGTTCAGGCCTGATTTTCATAACTCATTTATTTTCAGTTAACCTAATATTGTTTTATTTGACAGCAAGATAAACTCACTAATTTCACCCAAAGGCAATATCTGTCAAATTTTAACTAAGGAAAAAAGTAAATTTAACCCAGAGGGGCTATATGCAATTGATGGAAACTACAGGGCCAGAAGTGCAGAACAATGATGCCACAGGGGGTCTATATGCATATTGAAAAAAAAAGTTACGTTTTCTAGTTTCATGACCATAATACATTTGAGGGTAAATTGCAGATATATCCCATGTATAAGTATCACTGCTTTGAACTACTACCCCTTTAGTTTTATTATTGCGGACAGGCCCCTGAGTGGCTTTTCTACTCCTTTACCCTCAAGAGAAAGAGAAACATTCCGAAAAACTCACTTAGACGGCCAATTCCGCGAAAATAAACTAGAGGGGTAGTAAATTCGAAACAATGATACTGTAGAGGGTTTATCGGCAGCTAACCCAATTTAATACAGTGTATTGAAGAGAGCATGCTTAGTGCAGCATCAACAGAACGCGAAACAAAAGCGAGTCTAGATGAACTGCAAGAGATATTGATGATTACTTTTGTTTAGTTTTCAATAATTACTTTTGTTTAGTTTTCAATGATTACTTTTGTTTAGATTTCAAATTACTAGATGAACTGCGAGAGATATTGATGCTTAAATTTTATAAAAATGTGCAAAGAAATAAACAGCTTTAACTACAAGAGTGAACAACAAATCCAGGCTAGAAATAAATGACTACAATTCCTTTAGCTTACTATAAGGGGGTGTTTGGTTCAATAGTAGGCAAGAATAGGATTAGGAATCCGATTTTCTTATGGATTTCTACCTAGTCCATAAAAAATTTTAAGACAAGTTTATGGATTCATGAAATCCTTTTTTTCCTTTCTATGTTTGTTTCATAATATGAAAAAATGGAATCAAACTTTATAGAAACCCTCCAATTTCTATTATTTAGCTTGGTTTGGAATGAGGAAATTTTTGTAATCATCCAAACAATATCAACCATGACAAATAATCATCCATGATCATATATTAATTTTTACAAAGAATGAGTTATAGATTTATACTTTCAACTGCCAAGAGGTAAATCAGGGCTGAAAATTTCAGCAACAAACGAAAGCAACCAACCAATGCCAATGGGGTAATTCAGGGCTGAAAATTTCAGCAACAAACGAAAGCAACCAACCGAGAATCGAAGCTCAAAATCAAACCTATCGAACCCACTGACAGCAACGCACTAACAGCAACACAACAAGATCGAATAAAAGGGTTCATAATCAAAGAATAAATTGTGGGATCAAACCTCCAAATCGAAGCTCGAAATCAAAGAAAGGTGTTTGCATCGAAAATTAGTTTCTTCATTGTGAAACTCATTATAACTTCAGTCGTTTACAATAAGTTCAAAAAATAAAATTAGTCTTTTTATAAGACTACCTCACACAATGAAAATAAAAAATTCTAACTCTCTTCAACACACGCAGAGGACGTTTATCACCCGCTGCTTGCGTGGGATCTTGGCCTGTGCCAGGATTTATTTGTGGACCACCGTGGATCAGATCCGGTTGATCAGAATAAAAGATCAATGATCTTGCTTCACAAAAAAACAATTATAGAAGTAAATAATCTCAACAAAGTGAGATTACTACTCTTCTCGAGATCAAAACAAAGTCTGATCTCAAGGAATGGTAGAACGGGCCTCAGATCTCTTGAACTCCTCATCTTTATGCTGTAGAACTCGTCAAAATCTCGCTAGCCTCTCTGAAAATCGTGGATCACTCTTCACAGGGACAACACCTTACCTAAATTTCAGATCCCGCTATGTAGGGGCAGCTTGTATTTATAGGTTACTGATGCAGCATTTTCGGATAAGAATTGATGATTTGATCTTATCCTCAGTTAATAACCGCTTAACCACTTTTAGGAATAGCCTCAAAGCAGTTGGGAAGGCTATAAAATGAAAGAATCCTGAGAAAACTAAGGAAAACGTGTTTCGGGAACTCTCCAGGTGCGAGTCACTTCAAGGTGACTCGCATGCGTGTGGGTCACTTCGAGGTGACCCGCATGCATGCGGGTCACTTTGAGGTGACCCGCACGATATTTTAGCCTTATCTCTCTCATACGACATCGAAATGAGGTGATTCAAGATGCGTTGAAAATATGATAAAGAGACCTATAACCTTTATCTTTTGAGATTTTTCAGATTCGAACCATATCATAGTCGAAATTTTAAATTCTTTGTGCGAGTCACTTCAAGGTGACCCGCATGCGTGTCAGTCGCCTCGAGGTGATCTGCACAATATTTTTGGCCTTAACTCTCTCTTCTAATCTCGAAATGAAGTGATTGAAGATGCGTTGGAAAGATGACAAAGAGAACTACAACTTTTGTCTTTTGTACTTTTCTAGATTCAAATTGTCTCATAATCAAAATTTAACTTCTTCGTGAGGGTCACCTCGAAGTGACCCGCACGTATGCAAGCCACCTCGAGCCCTCCTGATTGTATTTGCTTCGTCGTTTTGCACATTTCGATGTTTCACGTGTGTTCCTTCGCTCCTCTTTGATTCGGATAATCCTATCTGACTTAGATAATAGCGTTCATCGCTTCTCTTTGAAGCCAAGAAAACCTAACAAAGTTCAAGATCGAAGCTGTCAAACCCAACGAAGCCAAGAAAACCCACCGAACCCACAGTCGAAGCCAATAACCAAAGCATCATCTTAGAAAAAAGAAATCGAAGAAGGCGTGAAGAGATGGGAGAATGAGCGAGAGATGAGGTGAGAGAAGGCGGAAGACCAGATCTAGGGTTTGGTGAAAATGCGGAATCCGAAAAATGGAGAGAAAGGTGAAATCATGGGGTGTGTCAGCTTTTTCAACCAAATCCTACCAAATCAATAGGATTTGGGTTTCTTTAAAATCATCATATTTTTTTAACTTTGGGGGGTTAGTCACCTAGAACTTAAAATTAGAACTAGGATAATCTGTGGGATAAATATTTAAGGTGTTAGTCACATAGAATTAGGAAGTAGGATATTTTTTTGTAGTGTTAGTCACATAGAATTAGTCAAGTAGAACTTTTCTAGAACTATGATATTTTTTTTGTGTTAGTCAAGTAGAATTCTACTAGAACTAGAATTGCGATAATTTGTCATAATTATTCCACTAATTATGCTACCTATATATGTAGTCGTCAATTCACCTCTCTCAAATTATGCTCTAGATTGATAAAGAATCAATTGAGAAAAAAGTAGAACTACGACCTTTTGAAGAACATCGCTTCTCCTCAGTTCACAAATATTTCCGATACCTATCTCTCTTTTTTATTAGAACTTAAAAAGCTGATACTGCTTTAATTATTAGATCAAAAAATTGATTCCTTCTTTAATTAGGACATGATACACAACCTTCTTATGATTAAAGTTTATGTTACAACAACAACTGTTAAATATTTGAATACATGCTATCGTAACTTTTGTGCATAAGAAAATGAGTGATGTGTTTTCTGTGATTTTACATTATTTTAGGAATTTTAAAAATGAGTATTTGATGCATGTAATTAGTTTGTTAGTATATGTTTAACCTATCCTAATTAAGTGGCTCTTACTATTTATACATTATATGTTCATGCATGACATTATATGATGAATACAAATGATGACTTTGACATTTCTGATCTTTCACTAGAAGCTCCACAAAATGTTGCTGATGTAGATGATGACTCCGATGACTCAACAGACTCAACGAGTAGCGGTAGGAGCTTGAAGAAATTCTATAGCAGAGGCCATGTGGGATGATGGAAATCTAGGGATTTAGATTTTTATTTAGTTGTAAAATATTTTATTATTTGAGATGAATAGTAATGCTTTATTACTTTATATTTATAGTTATTACTAGACTAATCAATCTTAACTTGTTTTTAATATACAATTATTAACAATAGTAATATATATCGACCATTACCCCCACCAAATTATCCTACCAAATTATACAACTTCATAATATTATTCATCATTATCCCACCAAATTATTCCTCTACAAAAATTATCCATCATTGTTCCACTAAATTATCCCAGTGTTAAAAAATTATCTCACTTTACCAATTATCTCTCAGTTCAACTTAAAAAATTGTAGATGTAGATGACTCCTATGGATTTTAAAATCTATAAATTTTTGGTGAACCAAACTCAAGAATAGGATTCATAAAGAATCATTTATTTACAATTTTGCCATTGTTAGACCCAATTTCTATTCCTATTCCATAAAATAAAAAATTGAAACAAACACCCCCTAATTCAATGTTAATCGTAGAAAGAATATATCATCACATCCTTGAGTAGAAATAGTGGAGTCGAAATTTTTATATAAAATGCATGGTTTGAAATGTCCAAAGTACATCTCCCCCAGACTCTGCTATTCCAGTTAATCGTTTAATTAACGTAACCATGTTTGTAAAAAAAAAAAGTCAAGCTTCACTAGAGAGGAAAGCTGTGGCTGATAAATGAGCGCATTAAAACGCCAGGTCAAAATGCTTAATGAGTGATTAATTATTTTGGATATTTGCAGGAATATAAATAAATTTCATCCTCTACGAAAAGAGGAGGGCTTGGGAGTTTCACCAGCTTACAAGCAAATTAAAAGTCCAAATATAGTTAAAATATGGCTTCATTTTCTTCAGTAATGTTAGTGTTTGTCTGGTTTCTGTTGAGTAATGGGGTGAAGGGAGGTCGGAGTCTCACCGGAGGAGAAGAAAAGGAGTTGGATGGAAAAACGAGAATCATCAGGAAGCTAGCAATTAAGACCATAAAGGTACTAATTACAAACTTCTAATTTTATCTCATAATTATTTTATTTTTTTTTAAAATTTGATGTAAGAGAAGTTACTGAACAAATATATCTGTGATTTAAACACACTTTAATCCCTTTTTTATATTTTAATTTTTAGTTAAAATTCATGTGTGCAATATTGTTTGCCATCGAAATTGAAGTATTATTTGATAATTAGCACCTTTTTTAATGTCTAAGATGAGACCATTTCTAAGTAAAAGCATAAAAGATGCACAGGATTATTTAAAATTAGACCATTTCCAGACTAAAAATTAACTTTATACTTATAGAAGTATTTTAAATAATCATGGACGCACTGTCTTTTGTTAATTTTTGTTTCTCCATTTTTTCAATTCCCAACAAAATTAGACCTCCACCAAAGAACCACTTGGGTCAGTTAGTATAAGATCCCACCCGACATAATGTATGTAGATATTAGCCCCATAAATCTAAGATAATTACGTATTATCCCTTACATCTTGAAAATTACAAATGAGTCCCTTAAATCTTATAGGGTCTTTCAAAATGGCTCCTCTGTTAGTTTTTCAATTTAAAAAAAAAACCTAAACTAAGATTGGGTTAACTCTTAACTCGATATCTACAATCACCAATCTACTCATCGCTCTAATGTTTTCAAATCTTCTCAAGCTTGACTTTAGGTTGGGGTCCTTTTCTAATCATTGAAAAAGAAGAACTCTAGTGGATTTTGGTTTTTTTAAACGGGTATTGGGTTTAGACCCATTAATAAATGAGTTTGGGAATATAATTATGGAATGAAATAGTAACTTTACCTCTAATCGTTTGACGGAATATTCCCCTTCAAATCTAGCGTGTGTTAACTAGAAGGGCCACTTTGGGTTAACTCCTAACCCAATATTGCAATTTTATAAGCAAAATCGAGTTCTTTGTGTTTTAATTAGAAAAATATATCTTTTTTTTGCCATGCCATCATTGCTGGCCAAGAAGAAGTCGATTTTATGAATTATAGTATTTAAAATACACAAGACCACTAGTCCCATGTATTTAACGATCGCTAATTAGTGGCTAATTAGATCTTTATGTGTAAATATGACCACATAGAAATAGTTAACTTTTAATTAACGACCTCTAAATACAAGAAACTAGTAGCCCCTTATATTTAAAAGATTATATTTTGCAAAATCGACCTATTTTTAATAATATGTGGTGTTGTCGCTAAAAAAAAGGTCGATTTTGCTAATTAAAACACAAAAAGGTCGATTGTGCTCATAAAATTGCAAAAGTGGTATTTTTTAAAAAATTCTCCTATCTACAATTGCCAAACTACCCATCTCTCTAATTGCTTTCAAACCTTGTGAATCTTAGCTTTGGGTTATGATTCTTTTCTAACCATTGGACAAGAAGAACTCTGGTGGATTTGGGTTTTCTTAAGCGGGTATTGGGTTTAGACTCATTGAGAAATGAGTTTGGGAAAATACTAGAGAGGTAAAACAGTCATTTTGTCTCTAACCATTAGATTTGTTAGATATTCCTCTCAAATGTAATGTGTGTTACACAGAAGGACCATTTTTTAAGACTATAAAAGATTTGAGGGGTTAATATGAAATTTCTAAACTTTGAGGGGTTAATATGTAACTATTGAAGATCTAACTGGTTACATCTAATAAAAAAAAGCTTCTTTTTTAAGTTTAGTCCTATTATAGACGGGTAAGAAAATAAAAACTCATTAAAATATGGGGAAATTTGTTAAAATCCAAGGGGAGATTTCACTAGCAACCGGACTATCAAAATTCCCCATTTTCTCTTTATTTTTTGAATAAAGCTTATTATAGAGAACTTTTATAAGAGGAGAGGTACGCTGCATCAAAATGTTCATATTTATGCTTCTATGTTCGAGATTTTTCCCAAACTGATATATTTTATAAAAAAAAAATCGCTTTATTTTTTTGCAGAATGAAGATGTCGGCACCATTGATTGCGTTGAATTTGATAAGCAACCAACTTTCGTGGATCCTTTATCGAATAATAATTCCATCCAGGTACGATAAATTTCCCCCAATTGTTTTGATCTTCTTTTGTTTAATAAGATCATCAGGGTTTGTTAAGGGTATTAAAATGAGACATCAAGATGAAGTCCATCATCAAACTACTTTTTATTCTTTAATTTAAAAATGTAATTTAAGGAGATTATTAAAAAAAATTCGTAATCTAGGGCATGTTCGGTTCTGGAGTTCGACGAGGGATGTTTATTTAAGTTATACTTATAGGTACTGTTTGGCAAAGGGTTAAGTGAGGGGTTAAGAAGACTTAACCCCTTCTTAACCTGCCAAACACAACAAATCTATATAAGGGTTAAAGTGAGTTAACCCTTCATAATTTGCCAAACATAAAAAATATAGAAGGGTTAAGTTAACCCCTCTAGAAGGGTTAAAATGAGTTAACCCCTCAAAATGAGGGGTTTACTAATACTCCTATTTAGATGGAATAAGAGTTAACTCTTCTAATTATAAAGAAAATAGTCAAAATCATTGTTATTCCCAAACACTAAAACTGATCATAAGGGCTAAAATAAAACTTATTTAACGGGTTAATAATTTAGTCATTCGGATTATCAAATGGGCTAAGTACATTAATCCTTTTCTTTAACCCCTCTTCATTAACCCTTTGCCAAACGGGGCCTCGTTTTATAATTGCTAAATGTAATTTATTTGTACTTTAATTCTCTTTACATTCATTTTGGAGTCCAGAAAGTTCTGCTATGACTAGATTTCTGTAGGCTAAACATCGAAAGGGGGAAAAACAACTTAACTGGACGATTATCAGATAAGCCCCTTACTTTGAAAATATCAGAAAACTCAAAGTTTAGAGGTCATCGAAAACCCCCCTTTAACTTTGAGATTTTCATCAGAAAGCCCTCCTAATATTAGGACGGTTTTTTGCAAAAGTCCTAAATTTAAATTGGGTTTTCTAATAAAATTTTAAAATTAAAGGGAGGTTTTCTGATAATCCCTACGCTTTGGGGGTTTAATGATATCTTCAAAGTTATGAGGGGCTTCGTGATAATTGTCCAAAGTTAAAGGCGACCAACATTCCCTCCCTTAAACTATATGCAGAAGCATTTAGTTTCTCTCTGATGCTTCAATCATTCCCAGCATGCTTAGAAGCCTCAGGAACTGCTCCAACTTGAGGGGCTTCGTCATTATATCTGCAACTTGAACTTGAGAACTGCAGTAGCTCAACTTCGCAGCTTCATCTTTTACCAAATCTCTCAGAAAATGAAACTTTATGTCAATATGTTTACTTCGGCCATGAAATACTGGATTTTTTGTACAGCTGCATGGTAGAACTGTTGTCACACTGAATCAAAGTACTCTTCTCCTCTTTCTGGACAAGTTTCTCTAGCACTCTTCTAACCCAAACACACTGACAGGCACAACTTGCAGCCGCTATGTACTCGGCCTCAGTGGTAGATAATGCCACTACAGGCTGTTTCTTAGAAGACCACGACACCGCTCTAGAACCAAGAAAAAATCACAAAACCAGATGTACTTCTTCGATCATCCAAATCATTAGCGAAATCGTTATCGGTATATGCCACAAGATCTGTGCTTCCTCCCTTGTAGAAAATGCCTAGCTCAGTTGTCCCTCTCAAACTCCTTAGTATCCGTTTTGCTGCAAGCCAATGAGACTCTCTTGGACAAGACATGAATCTACTGATTAAGCTCACCCCATACATCAGATCGGGTCGAGTTGCAGTCAGATACATCGGGCTGCCGACCACTTGCTTAAACATAGTTGAATCAACTTTTCTTCCTGCCTCATCTTTTGACAATTTCGTGCCTGGAGACCACTTGCTTAAACATAGTTGAATCAACTTTTCTTCCTGCCTCATCTTTTGACAATTTCGTGCCTGGAACAATGGGATTTTTCACTGCATTACTATACTTTTCTTCCTGCCTCATCTTTTGACAATTTCGTGCCTGGAACAATGGGATTTTTCACTGCATTACTATCCACCATTCCAAATCTTACTAGAACTTCACAAGCATACATTCTCTGACATACAAAAATTCCATTTGAACTCTGCACAGCCTCAATTCTGAGAAAGTACCTCATTCTCCCCAAGTCAGCCATATCAAATTCCAACATCATTGAGTTCTTAAACTCATCACATATGCTTGTATCATTTCCTGTATATATCAAATCATCAACATAAAGACTTACTATTAAAATTTTACCTCCCTCATTCGACTTTGTAAACAATGTGTGTTCACAGAAGCATCTTTCGAAACATTCTCGAACAAAGTAAGCCTCTATCTTGTTGTACCATGCTCTCGGCGCTTGCTTAAGCTCATACAACGCTTTCTTCAACTTGTAAACTCTTCCCTCTTCACCTCTCTTCACAAATCCAATAGGCTGCTGAATAAAAACCTCTTCGCTGAGCTCACCATGAAAAAATGCGCTCTTCACATCCAACTGAAAAACATCCCAGCTATGTTGAGCCGCCATAGCAAGTATCAAACGAATGGTGTCAAGTCTGGCCACCGGAGCGAACACTTCAGTGTAATCCACTCCATATTGCTGCGCATATCCTTTCGCCACTAGCCTTGCTTTATACTTGTCTATCTCTCCATTTTCGTTAAGTTTGGTCTTGAAAACCCACTTAACCCCAATCGGCTTCACTCCACTTGGTAAGTCAGTCAGCTCCCAAGTCTTGTTCTTTTCTATTGATTCGATTTCTGCCACCGTTGCATTCCTCCATTTCTTGCTCTTGACAGCCTCCTCGAATGTAAGTGGATCATCCTTCGTTATCATCGTTGCATTCAAATCGTATTCATCTGACAAACCTTCACCAGTTTCGTAATCGGCCATCCAAAATGGTGCCCTTCTAACCCTCCCTTCAACTGGAGCTTCTTGAACATCATCATGTGGCCCATCAGGAGGTGAACCAGTTTCACCTGAGTTGTCACTTGAGCTTCTTGAATCAGCATCATTGTTCTCTTCTTCATAGTCCTTTGCCTCCTCTTCGATGTCACCCTTATCTTCATCATCTTCCCATTCTAAAACATCCAGCTTGCACTGTTCTTCACTTCTACCCCAATCCCAGCTTTCTTCTTCTTCAAATACCACATCCTTGCTGATGATGATTTTCTTGGAAATCGGAACAAATAATCTATAGGCCTTTGACTCATTGCTTACTCCTAACAAAACACACTTCTTGCTCTTGACATCCAACTTGCTTCTTTTTTGATCTGGTATATGAACATGAGCCACACACCCGATAATTCGAAAATACTTCACTGTTGGCTTTACACCGCTCCATGCTTTTTCTGGAGTTTTAGTTTGCACTGCTACAGTAAGACATCTATTGAGAACATGCACCCTCCATTTTATAGTTTCGGGCCAAAACACCTTAGGAACCTTCTTCTCAACCAACATAGACCGTACCATATTCATTATCGTCCTGTTCTTCCTCTCAGCAACTTCATTTTGCTGAGTAGTGTAGGCTGCTTATGCCTTGAGCCTTGCAAAACTCTCCAAATTCATTTGAGGTGAACTCACCACCTCTATCTGTTCTCAAACAAATAATATATGCACCAACTTCCTTTTCAACACAAGCTTTAAAACTTTTAAACATAGTTAAGGCCTCTGACTTTTCATGTAAGAAGTAAATCCAAGTTTTACGAGTAAAATCATCAATAAAACTTAAGATATACCTTTTGCCACTGTTTGAAGTTGGTTTGATAGGCCCACATATGTCTGTGTGCACGAGTTGAAGTTGTTTTGATGCTCTCCACAAACTACTTTTCGGCATAGAATCTGTGTTGTTTGCTGGCTAAGCAATCTGCGCATATTTTCTTTGGAGTCTTGAGAGAGGGAAGTCCACTCACCATCTTCTTAAGAGAAAGTGTCCTTAGTCCTTTGTAGCTTAAATGACCGAATCGACAGTGCCAAAGATGAGACTCATTCTCTGTCATGGTCTGAAAACATGTAGAGGTTTTTGATGCCATAGTAGCAACCAAGAAGAACATTCTATTTCCACTCATATCTGTCTCCATAATTAATCGTCTCCTAGGATGATTGACCTTACACTTTCCATGCTGAATCAAAATAGTTAGACCTTTTTCTTGAAGCTGCCCTATGCTCAATAAATTGTTCTTAAGCTCAGGAATGTAATAACATTTGAACCGGAGCAAATCCATTTACTCGCAGACGAACACTGCCTTTTCCCACCACAGCCATTCTAGTATTGTTGCCAAGCTTCACGGTCTGCCTAAAGCTTTCATCTAGCTCTGAAAACCACTCCTTGTTTCCACTCATATGGTTGCTACAACCCGAGTCTAGAAACCATACTTCTTCCCTCTTGGCTTGTTTGGGATCGACATAGGACATTAGCAGAAGCTCCTCTTCTTCATTCAATTCAGCATAGTTCGCCTTGTCCTCCCAGTCAGGACACTCATATTGATAGTGTCCCAGCTTGTGACACTTGAAGCATTCAATACTGGCTTTGTTGAAGGACTGTCTCCCTCTCCCTCTGTCTCGGCCTCCTCTGAAAACAGCTCTACCTCTTCCTCTTCCTGCTCTATCCTCATGAGTGACCTTCAATACCTGCTCTTCTTCTACATGGCCTCTCATTCTTTGTTCATGGACGAGGAGACTACTCTGCAATTCATCGATTGTCATCGTTTCCAAGTTGTTGGATTCCTCAATCGAGCACACTACATAATAAAACTTTGAAACCATGGATCTCAAAATCTTCTCTGTGATGACATTTTCACACATACTCTCACCACAGGCCTTCATTTTGCTAGCTATAGTTAGAGTACGACCGAAAAATGCATTAACAGTCTCTCCCTCCTTCATCCTGAGCACTTCGAATTCTCCACGCAAGGCCTGCAACTGTGCTCTCTTGAGCCTTGTTGAACCTTGGAATTTCTGCTTCATTGAATTCCAAATCTGTTTGGCCGTGTCGATGTTGAGGATTGTTTCCAGGATTGTTTCCAGGATTTCACGATCAATGGATTGATAAAGAAAATTCTTTGCCTTTAAATCCTTTAACTTCTGCTCCTCAATCGATTTGAGTTGTGCCTCTGTAGGCACTGCTCCATCTGCCACTGCAAAGATCCCATCTTCTATAATACACCAATATTCTTTGGAGCGAAGAAAATTTCCCATCAGCTTCGCCCAATGGTCATAGTGACCATCGAATTTGGGGATAGCAGCTTGCACAAATCGACTGCTCTCTGCCATTCCTCTCGGCTCCTTCACTCTGAAAGAAATTTGCTGCTTTCTTTCAACACACACTCACTGTTTTTCCTCACGCACCCTCACAATCAGGCCCCTGTAATGGAGCTCTGATACCAATTGTTAAGCACAAAAGTAGTATTGCACTAAGAACTGGTTTTACAGAGAGAATGTGTTATTGAATTCAAAGCAAAACAGTTGTCTTTAAAGCCTTACAAGTTACAAGATGAAAGATTCAAAGAAAATAACAGAGCCCACGTTTTACATGACCTATAACGTGGTGGCTAGTTAACAAGATGCACGTCCCTAAGGAACAGGGATTTATTTAACAAACTAATTGAACTTAAACTTAGGAAACTAGACCTCCTAACAACCAACAGAGCAGAACTCCAAAGCCAAAGAGACCTTTATAAATATAGCTACCCCAAGTTTGCTCTAGCCATTGTTTTTGAACATCACTTTGATTGTAAAATATTTTTTGAACATCACTTTGATTGTGTGCCATAGTCGCACTGAACTTTTATATACTAGCTTGCGATTATTTAGTTATATTCTTATCCTCCATCAGCCCTATGTGTTTATTTAAATTTGTTTTTCTAACATTACTGTGAACACTATTATTTTCCTTTATTAGGTTACAGCCAGTCATTGGAAATTCTTCTTTCTTTTTTTCCTCAATTGAGCAATAGATTTAACATGCAGGCAACACATATTTCGCATTCTAATGATGGAAGGATTCCAGTTCATACAATGTCCAAAATCGCGCTTGAGAGTGCTGCGTGCCCATCGGGAACAGTCCCTATCAGGAGAACTACAGCTGAAAATTCTTTCAGGTTAAAATCGTCAACAGAGTCTGGATCAGGACAGATAACCATAGCTAATCCTCTAAATTCTGCTGGTCCTCCTGGAGTTCATGTAAGTCGCTTTCATAAATTGCAGTTTCGGATTAAATCACAGTTAGATATTGTATGTTTGTTGTTCTAATATCAGAGTAAATGGTAGGAAGTTTTCTGCTTATTTCAATAGTCTTTAGTTGTTTGTACCTATACATAGGAACATGAATATCTGAACTCAACAGAAGGAATTAATCTGCAGTTACATTAGTGATTGAACCATAAAATGAGAATTAACTACTGCAGAAGCAAGAAGGCAAACTTCTTATCATTTGGAAAGCAAAATGAAATTTGACGAAACAAGGTCGTACTGGGAAATAGTTTTCCTCCTTTTCTTTTTAATGGATCTTCCTGTTCTCTTGACCTATAATGTATAACTTTAAATATTTAACCTTTACGAGAGGGAAAAACTAACAATAGCGCCATGAAGTGCAAACTGTTTCAATGTATCTGTAACGCACATACTAGACATAGTGCAAATATATAAGATTATGAATTGTAAATCTGTGATACCTAGTTATTTATTCAACAAGCTGATTGCAGAAAGTTGTAGCTTTGAATTTTGAATATTTGGACCTCAAATAACTAGAATTCATTTTTTTTTCAAACTGAGTAATTTTATTTTTCTGATATGTAATAACCCTTGTATGAACAGTAATCATCTGTTCATACATTTTGACTTGACGTAATATCAGGATTGCAGGACATGAGTTTCTTCAATCAAACTAGAATTTTGATTGTTCAGATTCAAATGGCTAGTAGTTTCCATGTCTTACCAAAATTCCAGAGCATCTGAAATTTCAACATTTAGTATACGTACTTAGCTACTTAAATCTTAGCAGTATTTTATGTCATCTATGCATTTTAATTATTGGTTGTATTTATTGTTTAGTATGCAGCATTAGTATCTGACAAAGGCAGTTACCGTGGAGCTAACGCAGTGCTTGAAGTACACGCTATTTCAGGAGTTGGACTAGATCAATATAGTGGCACTATAATTATGATGTTTAGCGGGTTTGGAGGTCCGCCGGAGAATTTCAATGTCATATCGGCTGGGTGGCTTGTAAGTCATTTTCATTTGACACTTTATTTTCTCTTTTTCCATCTTTTGTTTTTCTTCTTTGTGAAAAAATGATCAGGAAATCATAATGCAGCTATCAAATTGGCCCGTGGTTTCTTTCTGATGTGCTGACCTTTAAAAGTAAAATTCCTGCTATAACAGAAATGCCTAAAGCTTCGTATAAATTGTAAAATTTTATAATCATTGTATTGTTTCTGAACTAGCTGTTTACCTGCTAAGGTAAAAAGGTAAAAGTTTATGGCATTTGAGATCTGATAAACCTTGACCATGTTCATGATGTGGAGAAATTTTGTAAGTGAGATTGGCTTATATTAAATGATTCTATCCAGGTACATCCAAAACTCTACGGAGACAACCTTCCTCGATTAACCATATTCTGGACAGTAAGCACAAAATCATCTACAATTTCTCAAATTATAAAAAGTGTTGTATTTATATACATAATTTGAATTGCAGACGGATGGTTATCAGCACACTAACTGCTTCAATCTCCAGTGCCCGGGTTTTGTTCAGAAGAGCTCTAATTATAGTCCTGGAATGAGCCTGGGCGAAGGCCTTTTTCCATTGTTTATATTCAAGGTATGTTAGGTCTTTTCTCATAGCAACGGAACGCATAGGTTATTTGCTCTACATTATGATATTTTAATTGGGTAATGCCTTGGAGCTTCTTCTTCAGTATTATTCTAGTTATCTTTTTAGTTTCTGTGAGGAATCCCTTTCCTTTAAGGGCCTGTTTGTTTGCTAAAAAAAATGAGAAAAAAACTCCGTCACGTATGATTTCAAGAAATCTCCCCCCGCCACGTAGGATTTTGGTTTCAACCGATTTTCAAATCACACGTTTGTTTCGTTTTGTGATTTAAAAAAATGAGGGTGGCACGTAGGATGCCACATCAGATTTTTAAGAGAACTCATTTCAGCCCAAAACCCTATGAAAACACTTGGAAATGTCACTTCAAAGAATTTTTAATTACTAAAAGCATTGTTGAAACAACGGCTGGGAATAAGAAGGATTATTTAATTGCTGAAAACATTATTGCTTTTGCGACTGATTTCCTTTTTCTTTTTTTTTATGTTCAAACAAACACAAGAAATGGAAATAGATGATTAAAAGGTAATATTTAATTGCTGAAAACATTATTGCTTTTGCGGTTGGGTTTTCTTTAAATGTGACCTGACAGGGATTTTATTGCGAAACAAACGAAAAAAAAGAAAAGCGGGAAATGTGTTGAAATGTCTTGAAATGGGTTGGAAATGTGTGTTTTCCATTTCCTTTTTTTTCCAAAAAACAACCATACAGGCCCTAAAACAATAGAAGAGGTAAAGATTGTTGGCGTCTGTGGCTAAATCTAGAATAAAATAGATAAATCTGTTGGAGAGTTAAAAGTGCTGTATTTTTAAAATTTTTCAAGTTAGCTGTTGTGCGCTTGTGAAACGTTGTGCGTAAAGTAATATTTGGCCTACTTCGGTGTAATGATGCTAATGCCAAACTGCTTTCAGGAACAGCAGTACAGTACACTGGTGTGCACCAACCAAATAGTGTCATGATCTCATCGATCTATAAGATCTTTCGGTCAAGGCAAAGATCTCCTCGATCTGTTAAACCTTTCAGTTAAAACCTTTCAGTTCAGGTAAAGATCTCCTTGATCTGTTAAAACCTTTCAGTTAAGACAGAGATCTTTTGATCTGTAATAACCTTTTGGTTCAGGGCTCTGTTCTTTTGGGCACAGACTAAAGCCTGCACGCTTTCAAACTTTGTAGCAGCAGCACAACAGCTTAAACACTTCAATATTTTTTTTTCATATCTTTCAGAGCTATCCAATGGGCTCTATTTATAGGTCTCTAAGGTCAGGTCAAGGATCATTTGACTATTACAAATCATAATGATAATTATGATTATAACGGTAAATGACTTAATTGTTATAACTGTTGTATGCAATTTTAATTGATGCATGCAGAAACGTCTGAACGCGAGGGTCGCGTTTCTATGCAACGTGATGGTCGTGTTCCCTCTCGCGAAAGCGAAGCTCGCCCGAGCTTCGAATGCGAGGCTTGTTCGCATGCTGCGAGGCAGCCAGTATGGCGCCACCTAGCCCCGATGCGTCCATGCGAAGTGCGCCTTATAAAACGTCACTTAGCACCGTAGCCTGATTAGCCCCGATCCCTGACCCATTAGCCCACGACCCACAAGCCCACGGACCCATGACCCACGACCCACTAGAACTTATGAGTGATTTATTGAATAAAAATAATTTTCGGCTTACCATTGGCAAACCTCGAATACAGGACCTTTTGAAACATCAAAACTTTAACTTTCCGCTACGCAACTAAGGATTTCTGAAAAATACCAGTAATTAATAAATACATAGTTTGAAAACTCATTTTAAAAAAGCGGTTTTGATAAAAAAATCCAATAATCCCCTACAAGTTTTTAAACTAGTGTCGTGTAACGGTGTCGTTGTTTCAATCGTTGTGCATAAGATAGATGTCCTTGGACTTGAATCCCCCTTAGATCAATTGAATAAAAGATAGATGCATAGTATCGCAAAGACTTGAATCAGTACATGTCTAAAATCCAACGATCACACAAGATCAAACTCATCTGTGGTAGTTTTCACTTTGAACCACACTTACCTTTGTCTTTTCCTTAGCTTTAGCTTTGCACATTTATGGCTCTGTGCATGTCCTGGTTTCTGCTAGGGTTCTAGGTATTTTTTTCACAAGACATCATAGGAGACGGCCAAATCTCCACTCATGTATAGGTGAGTTCTTTAGGCATGTTTCCTATCAAACATCCCGCATCTGAGATTTTTTGAACTCATTAAGGCTTAAGAGTCATCATCTCTCAAGATAAGATTCTAGGTGAGTCCTTTAAGCGTGTTTCCTATCTATCACCCCGCATCCGAAATGCTTTAAACTCATCAAGGCTTAACAACCATCTCATTCACATGATAGGATCATCAGTGAGTCCTTTAGGCATGTTACATATTCAACAGTCCGCATCTGAAATGCTTTGGACTCATTCAAGGCTTAACAGTCATCCTCTATATATCATGATAGGATTTCACTTGCATATCTTATTTGACTTTTGAACCAATCATCTTATCATTAGTAGCATAAGCTTTAAACTAATAATTTGACGTAAATGGTAAGTATTTGTAAGGCTCGCCAAACTATGCAAATCTTACTTGACTTTTTCAAGTTGTTGTGCGTTTATGAAACATTGTGCTTAAAATAATATTTGGTCTACTCCGGTGCAAGGATCCCAAGGCCATGTTTCCAGGAACAGTAATACAGTACACTGGTGTGCACCGACCAAGTACTGTCAAGATCCCATCGATCTATAAGACCTTTTGGTCAAGACGAAGATCTCCTCGATATGTTAAACCTTTTGGTTCAAAACATTTCGGTTCAAGCAAAGATCTCCTTAATCTGTTAAAACATTTCGGTCAAAAAACCTTTCAGTTAAGACAAAGATTTTTCGATCTGTAATAATCGTTTCAATCTGTAATAGAACAGTTCTCGGCTTGCCATTGGAAAACCTCGAACACAGGACCTTTTGAAAAACCAAAATTTTAACTTTTCGCTACGCTAGTAAGGATTTCGGAAAAATACCAGTAATTAATAAATACATAGTTTGAAAACTTATTTTTGGAAAGTGGTTTTGACCAAAAACCCAACAGAATTGTCACCCCTAAAGTCATGAACCAATTATTGTATCATGTTGAACTCAAGTTCATCCTTCCGATGTAGCTAATTTCAGCTAAAAACAACTAATTTTGGTGGAGCTATGAGAGTATATGAAAAGTGTGATGTTATATCATAGTTTAAAAAAAATCAATGAAGAAAAAGATTGTGACTGAACTACAGCTTTTATTCCGTATATGCAAATTGAAATTGTAATCAAATAGCTACCACGATTTTTAGTGCCAACAATTGTAGTAAAAGGCTCTCTGCTTAACATTAAGAGCGCTGCCACCAATAGTCCCTAGGGCTCTAGGGTTTTATCTCTAGAGTTTCTAGAGTTTCAGCCCCTAGATTTCTAGGGTTTGATCTTAAGAGCTATAATCAAATCTTCTCTAGGGTTCTAGGGCTCTAGGGTTTGATCTTAAGAGTTTCTAGTGCTCTAGGGTTTGTTCTGGCGATCACTGACGGCTTTGCCTAAGAGAAAGGCGCCGCCACGAAAAGTCTCTCTACGTCCCTCTACTCTAGCGTTTTGTCTCTAGAGTTTCTAGAGTTTCTTCTCTCTAGAAACGTGTCTCGCTCCGATAGTTTTGTGGCATAGTTATTTGGAGAGATTTGAGCCCCGTCCCCAACCCTCACGGCAACCCTCGGGGTTTCCCACATCTCGACCTCCGAGGTAGTTGTCTCTCGGCTCACACGAACGGCATCGCCGTTTCATATTTAATTAACGACATCGTCGTTTCATATTTAATTAACGGCATCGTCGTTTCATATTCCATTAACGGCGTCACCGTTTCAAGGCCGCCTTTCGGCCTCCAATTAACGACATCGCCGTTCAAGACTTTTCTCGGCCTCATATTAACGGCATCGCCGTTTCAAGACTGTCTATCAGTCTCAAATTAACGGCATCGCTGTTCCAAGCTGTCTCTCGGTTCCAAATCAATTTGGAACATGGCGAGAATTGATGATGATGGGTTGGCCGAGCTTTGTGCCAAATGCAGCGTAGATGACGAAGATGACCCTGTTTTTCTGTCAACTAAGGACCGGACATACTCGTCCTCCCTTAACAACTGTCTATTGGGGAAGGTTTTTGGTAGGAAAATTGTTAATAGAGATGGCCTTGAGCGTGTTCTTAGGAAGGTATGGATTGTAGATGCCCCCTTCCAGGTGGAACTCTACAGTAAAAGGAATACTTTCCTTTTCAGATTTGGTTCCGATGCAAATAGGGAGAAAGTGCTTGAGGGTGAGTCATTGTGCTTTAAAAGGAACCTGCTCAATTTGATTGTTCTTCGTAGGGTCGGTGCCCTAACTTCTCTGGATTTCTATTTAACTTTATTTTGGGTAAATGTTAAGAATGTACCACTGGCTACGATGAACGAGAGGTGCGTCAGAGACTATGGCTCGCTTATAGGAGAACTTAAAAGGATTGATTTGCGGGATAATAAGATGCGGCTGAGAATTCTCGTGGACATTACTAAGCCTCTAAAAAGAGGCATACGTGTTTGCTTTGAAGAGACCGGGGAGTTTGAGAAGCTCTACCTCATCTATGAGAGACTTCCTGACTTTTGCTTTTCATGTGGCATTATTGGCCACAAAGCTACTGAGTGTGACAAACGAAGTGTACAAGTCGATGGTATTTTTATCACATCCAAAAGCAGATATGGTTCTTGGCTCAGAGAACCCCCTCCATCTTCAAGGCTTTTGTGACTCAGTTTTCTGGAGCAACTAAAACAGAATGTGAGGGGCAGAAACAACCATCATCTCGGGTGGTCTCGAATGATACTCAGGATGATGATTCAGATTATAATGCTCCACTACAGATCATTCCAGTAACTGTGAGGTGTGAGACCCCCCTGTAACCTTGCTCATGGATACCAATGTTGGCTCGGATTTGCATG